TTTGTTTATGGCTAACAAAATACTTATCCAAGCTGTAAGTTACATATTGTAGATGTCTTAGCTTTTCATAATTTGTTTTTAGATGCTCTTACTTGTGGTAAACACGGCTGCGTGTGTGGATATTAGCTATATTGCAATGATTTGGGTCTATAGACTTTGGCCAATGGATGATGAGACTTCCAATAAAATCTAGAATCTAGCTGATCAGTTATATGTTGCCATGATTCTATTTGTTGCCACCTGAAGTAGATGTATGCTCGAACATGCATGTGAGCATATGCTGATATGATATGAATGTTTGTTACCTTCATAATCATCTCCTACAACAACTAATTTAATTTTCTTATTATCATCACTCTTCTCTGTAAAATAAAGATATTATGTTAAATAAAATAATAGGATATCTATTTACAAACATATATTGAAATACAAATATATGTAACTGTTTCTAACTTGATATGTCTTTGAAATTTATGATCCAAATACCATTTCTTTAGTCACAAGCTTCTCTAATAAAAACGAGTAGAATTAAACTACTCATGTGTCAATATGTTACTTACTTTATTAAGTGAAAAATAGCATTATAAAAACTGTAATCTGAAACTATTTCTTATTATAGTTTTAGGATTTTTTTTTATGAAAAAAACTATACAACAATTGATTATTACCTTTTCGTAGGTTGAGGGAGCGTATGTGCTGTATATAAACATTCCACATGTCCTATGTCTCAAATTATGAAAAGTAACAAAACTATACACTATGCATGTTCGTTTCCTAATTTCTGAGGGTAACTATCAACGACCAATTATTGGATCGAGCTTTATTTTGCATCTCTTAGTCATTTGGAGAGTATTTTTTTTCTTTCTTTCAACAATAAATACACAGTCAATAACTTTTATATTTAGGTTTTTAGAAATGGTTGTATTAGAAGACTTTTAGGATAGACGAACATGAAATGTGGGGGGAAGCATGATTGGTGACACATGTTGGTCTTGTCTTTCCCTGTTACTCCAGTCACGCCATCATATCATCGAAATCAATTTTCTCTTCTCCTTTTTTTTGTTATCTTTTGTTGTTAACATCTATAGTACTTTATCATCAGATTTTGTCAGCAAGGGGATTTTTTTTAATTAAAACTTTACCAGCATTATACGTACAAGTATATTAGAAGTCAGTACGTAAATGTCTACCTTAACCATGAACTCGTAATATACTCGTTACGCTCTTCTACTGAACTCGTTTCTCTTCTCTATCCTCTAGGAACCAGGGAAGGGTTCTATATTCTGAGTCCAAAGATGATGATTCTAGTTTCTTATGATTATATGAAGAGCTAATTAAGGACTAAACATCTTTTAGGTAAGCGGTGATTCAGACATCGCACCACATCTTATTGCTTTGAATAGTACACTCTTTTGGCTAATATATGCCACACTTAGTAGATGTAGACATAGATAATATTCTCCATGTCTCTAAATGAGAGGTTTTGATTACATCATATCCATTATGTAGCTTGACTAAGTGTATCATAAAACACTTTGGCGTCCCCTTTGAAGACTATTATCGTATATCTTAGCTTGCGGCCTTGAGCATCTCAAAGATTACCATTCACACATTTTTCTAGAAATCCTGCATTGGAACTTGGAAGAAAAGGTGACTAGTTGTTTCATTCTCTTCTATGCACAGCATTCATCTTTGATCTACCCTGATTTCTTGATGATGAAGGTTACTCATAACACATATGTGACCTTCCCTGAATCTTTCTCATATTGCTTCAGTATGGTGAGGAGACTCTTAGATTCTGCCTCAGTTGCTCTGCAAAAGAATATGTGTGATGCAAAAGGACCTGATCTTGCAGCTTTAAAACCATGTAGATTCTCATTATCCACCAGCAAAAGGTTTAGTTATATACAGTTTTGGTGCCGTAGTTTAATCTCAATGGACCACTAATAAAATATTTTATTTTGTTCTTCTCATACTATTTATGAAAGCCATTTAAGTCTGAGAATTGAATTGAATGATGTTGCGGGTGCTAGGTAGGGGCGTAAAGCTTGGTGATAAAGACAATGTGCTTTTATAGATATACATTAAACATTACTATGACCCTATGATATGAGTTAGCTCAATTGCGCACTTTCTTGTCAAATCTGCCTTAAATTCATTATTCTTGGAAGTTCAGGAATTGTGTCACTTCACTAATCACCTTTTAATTCTAAAATCTAGATTAGTCTGTCATATAGCCCAAATTAAACTTGGGCTTTACTGTATGGCCTTTTAATTCTCGAAAATAGAAAATGTGGCATTTAGTAATTATTTGATTAATAAATATATCAGAAAGGATCAAACTTAGTTTGTCTTTTTAACTCTCATAGTACTCAAAAATTTATTGTATGTCATGTGTAAAAGAAACAAAAGACGATCGATCACCAGTTGTATGCTTCTGTCACTTACTTAAATTATTATGAGAGCTTGGAAATGGAGAAACGTGGGTGGACCATTATTTACCTTCTTGTCAATTATTGAGCACTTCAATCTCCAGCTTGTTATATGTTAATTTGTTATATATATCCTAACGTTATCACTTCGTGTTGCTTCAAGTTTGGATCTCGATTCAATAACTTATATACTTGTATATATCCTAGCTTTTTTTGTGCACTATATATATATAGCTCATCCAAACTTTTCTTGTATTTCTATTTAATTTTGATTCACATATATACGAGACTTATAAGTTATATGTCCTTATTTCGTGTGGTTATGGACCTTCTTGAGAAACCGAGAACAGTTTACCTTGCAAGCATGCACCAAACCATTTTGTTTACTGTTGTTGAATCTTATCACAACAAGTTTAATAGAAAAATCCTTTGTCAAAAAAAAAGTTTTATAGAAAAATTGCCGAAACCCATATAAACATCTAGGCCTGGGCATAAAATCCGAAACCCGAAATCCGAACCGAACCCGAACCGAAAACCCGACCTGTTATCCGACCCGAAATGTAAAAATACCCGAACGGGTCTTATAGGATGGTATAAAAAAATCCGAAGCCGAAGTGTTATTTAACCGAAACCAAAGTGTTATTTAACCGAACCCGAACGGGTAACCCGAAATATCCGAAATTAATAATTAATATAAATATTTTAAATATATATATATATATTAGATATTTAGTTTAATGTTTATTTTGATATGATACATACAATAAATATTAAAATATAAATAAATACCTTAAATATATAATCAGTTATAAATAAGTACTTTGTAATTTGTTCATTAAAATAATAAATTTAGTTTATATGTAAGGTAATGCACATTGTTTACAAGTGATGTATGTTTTAATGACTGCTTCAGCATATTTTTTTTTTTATCAATTTTATGTATGTATGATTAAATTATATTCAGTTTCAGTGTTTTTCTTTATGTTTTTGTTTCAAAATTTTGTTTTATACTTCGGGTATATCCGAACCGAACCGAAATAACCCGAATCCGAACGATATATGATTACTTTACGGGTTTTATGCTGCAATACAAATCTGAACCGAACCCGAAGTGTTATTATCCGAACCCGACCCGTACTAGTAAAGTATTAGAATGGGACCTATGAACGTAAACCCGAAAACCCAAAAATCCGAAAAACCCGATCCGAACACCAACGGATACCCGAACGCCTAGGCCTATAAACATCGGTCACATGCCATCAATGTTTATCAAACTAGTAGAGCTGGACTCCCATATTTATAAACACTAAAAAAGTCGAGTGTTTCAGTTCTCTTTATTAAAAGTAGGATATACTTTTTATTTTATAAATAAATGACAATTTTTTAAATATATAATTTATATTTTATTTTTAATTAAAGTTATTTTTAATTATATTTTGTAACGAAATATTTATTTTATATAAAAATATTTAAAATGTTTAATAAGATATTGTTAGATTTTTTCAACATATTTTGTTATATTTAAATATATTTATTATTAATATCTTTATTAATTATTAAAATATTTTCAAAATAATATATATTTGATTGATTAAATAACAATCAAATATATCATATTAAATAATTAATGATATAGTCCAATATAACTTCTAAATAGTAGAAAATTAATACTTATATTTTAATAGAGAAGATTTATTCTATCATGAGTTCATCCTGCCAATATGACACAATTTATCCTTTTTGAGTTTTCAACACGTCTCATATTACTAGTATTCAATCTAGATCCACCGATTTCATTTCTTATTTTCTTACATTTAATCACAATAATATTGAAAAGTAGAAGAAAATCTCCATAATTACCGGCGAAAAGATGATGATGAGAAGTTGTAGATACCTTTTTGTTGTCTCCACATGTTTATTCACACTCTTGCATCATATGAAAGTTACAGATACAAAATATCTGTCAAAGATTCGTCCAAAAATAAATAAATTTTAATTAGGCACGAATGAATACTGATGTAAAATTATTATACCGAATGTTTAATAGAACAAATTATAATTGGACAATATATGGTTCTGACCCTCTTACAATATGTGGGGGCTGACGTACGTATACAAACGGTGTAAAGTCAAAGTTGGTCCCGCATAGACTCTCACGAACTACATTTCATGAATTTATACTTTCCTCTTTTTTTTTTGTTTTTCACCTTTTACCTACCAAGCCTACTTCTATTGATTCATATTTTCTCATTCTTTTAATCCTTTCATAATGATGATTCTTTAAGGAAAATAAAAAAAAATCTATTTCTATTAGTTGGAAAATAGATTTAAGTATGATTTTTTTAGTGAATGTTTTGAGACTAGTTTTTGAGGTAAATGAAATATCTAAATAATTCACAGTAAAAACATATTTTAAACAGTAAAAAAAAAGAGAGTTGGAAAATTGAGAAATTAGATTTTGGAACGTACCTAGTACGTGTCAATAACACTATTATTAAACTAATAAGGACACATAAAGAATCTTGTTTCTTGCTTCCCTCGTTCCCATGTGATGTAAACAATCAATCTTTCCAACACTCTCTCTCTTTCTCTCTTGTGGGGTTTGGAGTATTATATAATAACCAAACAGTCCAAGGCACATCTTTCCAGTACACCAATCTCTCGCCAGAAAACACAGAGAGAGGATCTCAATCTCAGCTCAGATCGAGAGAGAATGGGTTTCTCTTCCCAAGAAAACCCTTCTTCTCTTTACTTCTTCTTCTTCTTGCTCTGTCTTACCACTGTAGTCTCTGCTTACACCAACACAAGTAGCAACATTGGTGAGGAAGGAGGGAGAAGAGAGCTAGCTTCTTGGAAATGCAATTGGTTTAAAGGGAGTTGGGTTTATGATGTAAAGTACCCACTTTACGATCCTTATAAATGTCCTTTCATAGATCCACAGTTTAACTGCAAGAAGTATGGTCGTCCCGACAATTTTTATCTTAAGTATCGATGGCAACCTTCCTCTTGCTCTCTCCCTAGGTACACTCTCTCTTCTTACTCTTATTACATTCTTTAACTAATTTGGTTTTGATTCACATTTGACTCAATATCAAACCTTTTTTTCTTGTTCTTGTGAATAATTGTGTTTGTTTCCATTAATAAATAAGCAAAGCTGGAGAGTTATTTTTATTGGTTTGATGCATTTACAGAGATATTTAAGCATATTGGTAAGAAAGGTTCCAAATGAATTTCAAAGTTAAGAGAGTAGTATTCACACTCTCTCTCTTACTGTTTTTTCCCTCTTTTCCTCTTTTTGTATATATTTTTTTGCCTTTTTGATTTCAAAATTTGAAACTTTTGTGAGAGTTGCATTGGAGCAATAATGTCTCGATATCATTCCATTATTTCACTCTCCAAAAAGGTGTAAGACCGAATCCAAAGCACAAACTAAAAATGTATCTGATTAAGAAAATTTAAATCTATTAAGTAATTTTTTGGATTTGAAACAATTTCAGATTAGAACTATACTATTAATTTGTAGTCACATTAATAACTAAATTTATCATTTAGATTTTAGTTTTCATTCGGTCCAGAATTGAGATAGAAAAAAATGTTTGTTATATTTGTCAGATTCAATGGGTTGTATTTCTTGAGAAAGATGAGAGGGAAGAAGATAATGTTTGTTGGAGATTCACTAAGCACAAACATGTGGCAATCTCTTGCTTGTCTAATTCACTCTTGGGTTCCTAACGCTCGCTACACTCTTCTTCGCCAAAAGGGTCTCGCTTCCCTCACCTTCGAGGTTTGTTTATTTTTCTAATTATAATTTCTTCTAGTAAACTCATTTAATAAAATACTTAATAATATGATATTAGTGGAAGTAAGATTCTTTGCCGTAGAAATAATTTGGTTTTTCAGCTTTATAGTCTGAAAAGTTTCTTTTTGCTTAATTTAAACAGGATAAAAGTGAACGTATGAAAATGACATCGGCTAAAGTTTCACTTTCTTTGTCTATTAATTATTTGTTTTTGTCTCTTTTGATTTGATATAAAATATGATGCTTTATTTATGCACTCATGTTATAAAAATAGTATTAGCACAAGAGAATGAGCAGAGCATTTAAGAGATGAACGTGATTAGTGGCCTATTTCCCAAAAAAGAGAATCTCTCAGAATATCATGTCATGTTATCATCTTTATGATCATGAGCCACACAAAAGATATAATTCCATTTCTTTTTGTTTAATTTAACTCATATGATATTTTGAGCACATGGCCGCATGTATCAACTTCAAATTTACACATATTAAAAGGTAGATGCATTATGTAAAGGTTTCATGAAACACAAATTTATTACAATAAGGTCGAGTTATATATATATACTATATATTATCTAGTGAAATAACGAGTTTATGTAATTGGTACGGACGCAGGACTACGGAGTGACGTTGAAGCTATACAGAACACAGTTCTTAGTGGATTTAGATACGGAGAACGTAGGGAGAGTGCTTAAGCTGGATTCCATTAAGCAAGGCAAAATGTGGAGAGGCATGGACGTCTTGATTTTCAACAGTTGGCATTGGTGGACCCATATCGACCACATCCAACCGTACGTTTTCTTTGGCTTTATGTCTTGTGTCTTCTTGAGTTTTGACTCATTTGATGACGTTTACGTGTGTGTTTGTGTGGAACCAGGTGGGATTACATGGAAGATGGGAACAGATTGTACAAAGACATGAACAGACTGGTCGCTTATTACAAAGGAATGACCACTTGGGCTCGATGGGTTAATGCATTCGTCAATCCATCTAAGACCAAGGTTTTCTTCAATGGCGTTTCTCCGGTTCATTACGAGTAAGTTAACAAAGAAATAAACATGTTTCAATGGGTAGTTTATTATGTTAATAGTTAAGCATTTGCTAGGCATAACATAGCTATTAGGGAATCATAAACATTTTAATGTTAAAATTAAAAAATTGATAATTTAAAGACCATTTGATATATATATATAATAGCTCTTTAAAATTTAGGATCAAGTCGGATGTTTCATCCGGCCATGACTATTATTTTGATACTATTCGTTATTGTCTAGGTGATTATGGTTATGTCATTCTCTAACATTATCTAGGCGTTACTTTAATTAGATGATCTTTTGTTGGCAGTGGAAGGGATTGGGGAGAGCCAATGAAGTCATGTAAGAGTCAGACACAGCCATTCTACGGGAGGAAGTATCCGGGAGGACCACCAGTGGCCTGGGTGATTTTAAACAAAGTGTTTAGGAGATTGAAGAAACCGGTCTATTGGCTCGACATAACCGGTCTATCTCAGCTTCGTAAAGATGCTCATCCTTCTGCTTACAGTGGGAACCATCCTGGTAATGACTGTAGCCATTGGTGTCTTCCTGGTTTGCCTGATACTTGGAACGTACTCTTTTACTCTGCTCTTTTCTCTTGAAGTACTTTAAATTTATCATCATTGTATAAGTTACTGAGTAACAATCTATTTCTTTAGTTAACTTTGTGGTCGCTTGATTGTTGACTAAAATAATGTTTTAGATACCAACGTAACTCTAATCAGGAAGAAAACATCTCAAGAAAACAATACACAACCTGGATTAGTTTTATAAGTTTATGTTATATGTATACTGAAATATAACATCAAACTTATACATAATCACATTCTCTGTATTATAAAACATTTAAATGAAAATATTCCTAGGAACATCTTTACCATGGACCAAAACTTGACTTGATAGAGTGATGTGCCATTGTGTTTAGTGTTTGTATTAACATAAATGTAAATAAACAATCCATCAACCATCAAGGGAAGCAAAGAGACACCTGAGACCATACATGTCGTCTTCAGACAAGAATCGATGTGATAATAAACCCGAAGCACTTCCTCTACTCTCAGGGTTTCTTGCAAAACACGTTTCTAAAAAATCCCTTGCATCATACGGCACACACTCTGGAATCTCAGGCACTTCTCCACTCAACAAAACAGACGCAAGATCTTTAAACTCAACCTCCGGCCATGGCTCACCGGCATACATCTCCAAGACTATACATCCTACCGACCACAAATCTAGGGCTTTCTCGGCCACACCGTTATAGACTGACTCTGGCGACATGTAAATAGGCGAACCTACAAACGGAGCGTCGCATTCCCATGTATCAGAAACCTCTCCTACTTCTGTACATGACCCAAAATCAGAAATCTTCAGCTCGTAAGACTGTCCACACGGGAAGATAAGGAGATTCTCTGGTTTGAGATCACAATGAACATAACCTAGGTCATGAACAGAGACCAACCCTTGAAGTAGCATACGTGTGAAGTCCTTTATCATCGTTTCAGGCAACTTGCTATCTTTGTAACTGTACATGAAATTAGCTAAACTCCCTTCAGATGCATACTCCATAACCATCTTGAAGATTCTTGACTCGTTGACAACGTCAAAGTCCTCTTCCAAGTCGTAGTTGTTATAGCATTGTACGATGTTTCTACAACCTCTGAGCTTTGATAGAATCAGAGCTTCTCTCTGGAGAATGTAAAAGTTTTCGCAGTCTGTGGTTTTCACAGCGGCGTAGAGAGGTGATGAGCCGTCGCTTCTGATGTATTTGACGAGGTCCACTGATCCGTACGTGCCTTTAGACAAGAACTTCACGAACTCTGGTTTTGTTGGCATCTCTGGAACAACAACAACAACAAGACTTATATGCTTTTAGTTCACTCGAGGAAGTTGAAGTCAACTTAGATATTGAGGATTAAACCTAACCTAATGCATGCGGCGAATGATGAATATTCCTAGACGTGACAATGTAGCTAATTATAAATATAAAGAGATTTTTTTTAATCTTCAAGATAAATCTGTATTTTGTGATAATGATAAATATATAATATTCTTTTTGGAAGTAGGAAAATTTCTTTATATTTGTATTTAACTTATGTATAAAAATTTAAATTATGAAAAAATTAAAGAGAAGAAAAGGTCTGTTTGATTTGGATTAAAATTAAACTATGGATACATAAAAGGAAAAGTATTAAGTATTTCTTCTTCTAATTTCATTCAACAAAGACAGATTCAAAGAAACAACATCAGTTCTCTTATTCCATTTGGCCAAAATATCTGCCTGCAATGGTGATGAGCATATTAGCCATGATGATAACTTGTTCATCTTCAACCTCTGATGCACGAAGACTCGCACACTTCCTTAGAATAGCCCTGAGACAAGCACAAGTGTCACCATCCAAAGGAGTGTCCACTGATGCACATAATGCTACTACCCATATGCAGTCACTGCTCTGTAAACCGCTCTCCTTCTCAACCAAACATATACGCTTTTTCAGCCTTGATACCCGCGTCACCGAGTCCATTCCTTGTATTTCTGAAACCACCACACCAAATGACTCATCTGTAACTGTGTTGAGACGTGTACTGAAGATCCCCATTAGCATATATTCTATAGACTGACTTGATGGCATGGTCTCATCTCCGCAGCACTCGTTGGCATCTAATGATAAAGCCTGTATAAAACCGACAACACTTTGCATTCATTTCTAGTTCATTAGGAGTAACACTTACAGTAAGCAAGTTAGTTAGAGGAAGTAAGTACCAATCGAAGGTCTGAGAAGTCAGAAAGCAATGAGTCTTCCCATTCCTTGAGTGGTAACAAGTGTTCTGGGCATTTAGGGATTTCAGGTATCTGTGGCATGTAGACACTTTGCTCTTTCGTTATGTATTTGCTTTCATCTATCTTGGCTACTTTTACATTCGGAACACGCTTAGCCTCCCACCTAAAATGTGGAAACAACTTTACCATATATGCTAATAAATGCAGATACACTGAAAGATGGAAAGACAGAGAGACAAAAACATACCTGACTCGTCTTAAGTATTCAAAGCCATCTTCTGGTGGTCCAGATTCAAAATCAGGTTCTCCTTCCACCGCAAACGCAGGTTTCAAAATGCTATTGTAATCGTCATTATCTTCACTGTACTCCTCTTCTTCTCCTTCTTCTTCAAGAGTTAAGTCATCTATTCCTTCTTTGGTGCCTATATTTCCTCATGAAGAAGTAGAAAAGTCAAATTTGGATCCAGTGTGAATGAAGTTGTATGAGTTTTCAGGGCAATTAACAGAAACGAATTTGCTTGGCAACAGATAAGAGCTAGGACCAGAGAAAGAATCTGCTTTCGAAAGTTTTTGATTTTTATTGAAGATGTATGAACATGTACAATGTTAGCCAAAGACCATACACACTTTGAAATAAAGAATTTCACTATATGCTCTTATTACAATCTGAACCAAAGAATCTATATACAGAAAGAATGACTCAGGTATCCACACGGTTTATGTTGTGTCATAGAAAAGGGAAAAAAGAAGTTGTAGTGTCTTAGAGAAAAGGGACTTTGACTAGTTTCTTCAGGTCACGGCTCAGTGTACAAAGATATTCACACGGTTACGTCTTGGTACAGCCGATACAGGACCTGTTGAAAAAGAAGAAAAAAAAGGTCCCTATCAAAACGACATGTTTCTGGAAAAGAGGAGAGAATGGATCAGGAAACAAGATAATAGACATCAAAAAGGCTTAAAGTGGTTTGAATAGAGAAGAATACTTGGGAATAAACCACTGCGGAAAGAGTACTCATAGACACTATATCTGACTAGAGAAAGAAGCCATAAAACCATAGCAAAGAAAACCTCTTTGAGTATAGGCAGAGGGATAGAGACACACACACACACATACTATATATGGATAAGCTGAGGATATAGCTTAAGGTGATACGTGAGCACTAGACAAATCTGAGACTGGAGTGACCTATTTATCTTAGACCTACAAGCTAATCTCAACATGTTCAACCAACATAAAATGCAGCAGTTAAGATAAAAAGCAAAGTAAGTAGAGGGTTACCGAGAATACCGATGCCACTAGACTTTGAACTCTTCTGACTCTTCTTCAAGCTAACAAGACCTTCGTACTCACTCACCAGCTCAGGTAGGAGCCTAGCATACATGTCACTCCACAGTTTCCTCTGATTCGCCATGTTAGCATACCTCATCGACTTCATTTGGTTCACAGAGTACATTATCCGCAACTCATCGCCACTTGCTTCAACATGTTGATGCTTCCCTCCAGTTTTCTTATGCTTCCTCGGTGCTTCCCTATCATCACTGTGTCCAGCTGTTCCTGACCTCTTGGAATGATGATCTTTGCCTTTCTTGCCGCAGAAAGGAACGACATTGAGCAACGCAGTATCATCAACCACATCGATCTTCACAGATCTTCCAACGAACGCGTTGTCCTTAACTCTCACTCTTTCCACCTTCTGACACTGCTCTTTAGAGTCATTCTCATTCTTTTCTAGCGTCTCCACATCTTCCTTCTTTCTGAAGATTGTTCCCGTTTCGATCTCAGCCAACAGTCTCCTCTTCTCAGCCTCCAAGAGTCTCTGAACATCAGAATCTTCTTGTCCCTTCTTCTCAGAGATACAAACAACGGACCCATCAGTCTCCATCTTGTCCACATCATCTTGTGCAGCAGACGTTTCCTTGATACCTTGCAGCTCCTCACCAACCTTACCCTCTTCAAGAAACGAGGAGCTAGCTTCAGATACAGGCAAGACTCCAGAACAATCAACATCCATAGACTGGGCTTCTTCCTCATGGATACTCTCGCTATCTTTCTCAGGAATAGAAACAAAAGGCGAAGACTTTACTTGATTCTTTGAGCTTATCATCTCCAAAACAGAGTCGTTCTCTAGTGGAGATAAAGAAACGACCTTTAGCGAGTTTTGAGCGAAATCTTCAAGAGACATCGAAGCTTTCTCCGAGGAGGTTAGTGGGTCTTGAACAAGACAGTCATCGGAATCAGATCTCGTCGTCATAACAGAGAGCGAGTGAGAGAGAGAAGAGAGACGGATGAGAGCAAAAACCCTTAAAGGAAGATGAATAGGCGAAGAGAGTAAAAAGCATTTTTTCTCGAAACTGTTAAATAAGCTAGAGCCGGTTTGATTAAACCGGATATTTTTCCAATAACCGGTTTTATTAATTTCTTCTCATTAACCGTACCGGTGACGATTTTAAAAAAAGCGCGGGGGTATTATGGTAATCTCCGAGAATACAGCTCGAAAGCTACAAACCACTCGCTTCTCTCACGTCACGCGCCATTCCTTTTTCGATCTTTCTATCACTCCGAGGGAGAGAGAGAGAGAGGCGAAGAATACGGAGATTCAATCCAATTTAGGGTTAGAGAGATTCCCCCTAATTTGGGAACGTAGTCCTGAGATTCCCCGGATCGGAAGAAGACGGAAGTAACGAGAGAATGGGGGCGAATTCAATACCGACGGACGCAACGATTGGTCTCGATGAGCAGATCTCGCAGCTCATGCAGTGCAAGCCTCTCTCTGAGCAACAGGTTTGGCCCTCCCACACTTTCTCCTTAGATAATTGGATCTGGGCTTTGTTTTGTTTTCTCTGTTTGAGCTTCAATCGCGTAAGAAATGATTGGATTTGATTAGGAGAGTTTCGATTTTATACAAAAATTAATACTTTATGGGAAAAGTTTAGATCTTTATGTATGTGTATTGGCTTTGCGTTCTATGGTTTGATGATGAAAATTTGGATTCTTAAGATAAAGTTAGGTAATTACATCAAAAGATCCTGTTTTTATGTGCCTGCTAATGTGGGCTTCCTATGGCAATGAAGATTGTTCTCTACTTCGTTAGCATTTATCGCTTTGAATTGAACCTAGGTCATTTGATGTAGCTTTTCAAATAGGGAGAACAGAGCAGAGAAGTAAATGGAAAAATTAGCTCATCTTGCTTGCTGCTGGTGTATAGCCTTCTTAGCTCATATCAGATGAGTAATTTTAGAGTTTTTTTCTTCTGTGATTGATGTTCCTGTTTGATGCGTGTCAACTTGTTTTAATATTTAATTAGAACTGTTAATCCCCTATAAAGAGTTTAAATATCATATGCAGCATTGCTTTACTTTCTTATAGGTTAAAGCATTGTGCGAAAAAGCCAAGGAGATCTTAATGAATGAAAGCAACGTTCAGGTTTTCTTCTTGGTCTTTTCATCCCCTCGCCGCTTTTTGGCTTATTATATTTTCACTTGTGCTACTAGCGATGAATTTATTCTTTTACTTTTTCTTGTATGCAGCCTGTGAAAAGCCCTGTGACAATCTGCGGTGATATTCATGGACAGTTCCATGATCTTGCTGAGCTTTTCCGTATTGGCGGAATGGTAACATATATCACTTACCTTTTTCTTTTTTTTTGTTTATCCATGTACAGCTCTACAAAACTTACAAATATAAATTTTCCTCTATTGTGCAGTGCCCTGATACCAATTACCTGTTTATGGGAGATTACGTTGACCGTGGTTATTATTCTGTTGAAACTGTTTCGGTACGAGGATGATCTTTGCGTACTTCTTTCTTTTCTTTTCCATTTAAGACTAGTATTGTTGGGTTGGGATATGAAGTATGTTTTGAACTGTCTCTTTTTTGTTCTATCCTCTTTCCAGCTGTTAGTGGCCTTAAAGTTGCGATACCCTCAGCGAATCACCATTCTTAGAGGAAACCATGAAAGTCGTCAGGTAATGGTTCCTTAAAGTTGTGATACCCTCAGTATTTTCTGTCTGCATCTGACGCAGTGGTTCCTTCTTTTTCTTCTGTTTGGCAGATCACTCAGGTTTATGGATTTTATGATGAATGTCTGCGAAAGTAAGTCTTCTGAAAAACAAAAATCCTTATTTTGTAGATGCTGTTAGTTGCATGCAAGTAATTTGTATCATCATTAGCATTACTCTTGTCCCTGTTTTTTTCGGTTGCTACATGTAATGTGAGTGTAGTAGTATGTTAAATATTTCCTCCCTCTCTTAGCTTTGTTTCTATAAATCCTTTGAAGCTTATGATTGCTTGCTCATAACATATGCTCCTATATTGTATTATCTTACACGTCAGCATTTGAAGCTTATTAACCTCTACCAAGATATGTATTTGAATTTGGGTTGTAGATTCTGCCACTCGTTTGACAAAGGTTGCTTTTCTTGCAGGTATGGAAATGCAAATGTTTGGAAAATCTTTACAGACCTCTTTGACTATTTCCCATTGACAGCCTTGGTTAGTGCCCTATCATGTTTCACACCTTTCTTCCTCTTTTATGATGTTGGTGTTCACATGAGAATTAAGTCATGTAGTCTTTTAATATAAGATACTCAGTCCTTTGTCTTGTGCTAGCAATATTATTTTTGAACTAAAGAATTCGTTAGTATTTTGAAAAATGCAAAGAATAGAAGATTACATTATGTTAATTCCATTGCAGGTTGAGTCAGAAATATTTTGCCTTCATGGTGGATTGTCTCCATCTATCGAGACCCTTGACAACATAAGAAACTTCGATCGAGTTCAAGAAGTGCCACATGAAGGGCCCATGTGTGACTTGTTATGGTCTGATCCTGATGACCGTTGTGGTTGGGGCATCTCTCCTCGTGGTGCTGGATATACATTTGGTCAGGTAATTATAAATCTCAGAACGGTCCTGAATATATTTCTATTACTCCGTTTTAACTTAATTGACTTTCATTTTGTTTCCACAGGACATATCCGAACAGTTCAACCACTCAAACAGTTTAAAGCTGATCGCCAGAGCCCATCAGCTGGTTATGGATGGATACAACTGGGCTCATGTAATAATTTCAGTTCAACCCTTCTTTGTTCCTTCCATAGCTTTACGAGGCTTAAGATTCTTTGCTCACTATTATACTTCATTCCCTTTTTTTCTTTCCGTCTTACAGGAGCAAAAGGTGGTAACTATCTTCAGTGCACCAAACTATTGTTACCGTTGTGGAAACATGGCTTCGATTCTTGAAGTTGATGACTGCAGGAACCACACCTTCATTCAGGTCTTGCCTCAAAAACCCATGTCTTTTCTGCTAACGAAACTAGTGTAGAAAGAAAAGACGCTAACTTAAAAAGGTAAATTAACTATGAGTGCAGTTTGAACCAGCACCGAGGAGAGGAGAGCCAGACGTTACTCGAAGAACACCAGACTATTTCCTGTGATCACTGGATACAGCGTCACCTCAGCAGCCAGCTCTGCAACCACAACTGAAAAGTCACAGTTGGCAACTCAAGAATCTGGTTACTATGCGGTGTGTTAACATAGTCCCATCACCAAAAATATAGTGTGTATTATAGGCGAAGAAGACTCTTTATCTTCCTCTATAACCAAGAAGAAGGAAACAAAAAAAAAAGAGGTCAATTGACTCTACAGTACCCACTGTGCACATTGTCAGATTGTTTTTTCATGTGAGAGATCCTGTTTAATTTGATTTCTTGTAATTCTTCTTTCAAATTCTATCTATTTTTTTGTTTGTTTAGAAATCCAGTGAAGCTTTTTGGTTGGAACTTCCATGTTTTGTTTTTAAAATCTTGATATAGTTCATTAACTCAGCCACGTGAAACACTATAGTTAGAACTTACAAGTCAATTGAACTACATCAATTGGGCACCATCAAAAGAGACTAGGTTCAGCCTGTCGCCTTCTCTGTAGCTTATCCGTTGTTGAGTTTGGGAATGTAGAAACTGGAGTTGTGAACCTTGTGGATTTTCACAGCCACGTGGATTTTCAACTGTTCACCCCGGTAGATGTTCCACCGAATCCAGCATGCAAATCGGAGAGCAAGGACAGTGAGGTCAAAGAGGTTGTAGCACCGAAGCCACGTCAGACTGGTTTACTATCAAAGCTTTGAAGAAGACAAGACTTTGTTGTTGGAGTCTTGGAGACATTGCGGTCTACGTGTTAGGGTTTTGCAGACGAAAAGACTTTTGTTTTGTTTTCGAAATTTTTTGTCATTGAAATTTCAAAATGTTTCATGTTTTAACATTTTCACACTTATTAAAAAAGTTTATTAAATTTAAGTTACCAATACACTATTTTTATAATTAACTATTCCCTATGACTTTTAACCAATAGAATTTTTAAAAAATACAATTATATTTTTTGAAGTTACAATTTACTATTAATAAGTGCATTAAAAATGTAAAACATGTATCTTTTTGAAATCAATTTTTTCTAGAATATAAATCTATTTGAAACAGAGGGAGTAATAAATAGCTATTTCAGTTTATATTTTTCAATATTAATATAATACGGTACAAACTAGCCTAATTTAAATACTGATAATTATAATTAACTAGGTAGAGACTTGTGCTTTGCATGAGTTATTGATGTTTTAATTGAACGAAAACAAGAAAAATAAATGAATGTTTATAAGAATAATTTGTAAGAAAATTATCTTAAAACAATTTATTTTATTTTATAATTATCTTAAACTAAAATTTTAAGAGGAAATACTATTCTTAAACAATTATTTATAAGGAAATATTTCTTTGTTTTACAGTTTTTTGTTAAGACTTTTTCAAAAAAGAAAACTAATTTTTAAAATTATTTTAAGTTAAAAAACTTTTTAAAGGAAAATTGTTGTTTAACATATTGTAAACTATTAATGAAGAAGAAGTTGAGAATGTTCTGAGTTGTATTCACCATGTGGAGACTACGTATATACTTGTTACAATGAGATCACAATACATTAGATCTCCCCTTATCGATATCTACTCATTAATATCACAATATCACAATATCTCCGATGTAACTTACTCCTCAAGTCAATATCACAATATCTCCGATGTAACTTACTCCCCAAATCTCGATGTAACTTACTCCCCAAGTCTCGATGTAACCATAAACCGATGTAATCGGACATACCGATGTAACCATAAACCGATGTAACCATCGCTAACACATCATAATTCTAAATATATTTTATGTAGCTATTATGTTAATTATCAATTTGAAATCCAAGCTTTGCCTTACTATATAACAAGGCAAAAGATAAGAGATTTGGGGAAGTTTTGAAGCAAGGGTTTTTGATAAGTTGATCCTTTAGTTCTTCTTGCCTCCTCTACAAACAGAGGGCGTTAGTTTCATAAACTGCGAAAGCTTCTTTGGTGAATAATGTGGAATGAAAAGCCGAGTTTCACGTTTGAGATTGACAACTTCTGGGAGAAGGAAGGTGGCATACCTTCTCACGTATTCGTGGCTGACGGATGCGAATGGTATAGAATCTGATTATTAAACTCTCTCTCATGCTTTAGAAGGTTCATGTATTCGATCGGTATCATTCATCGGGGTTTAATCATTGTTTTTAGGTTTCTTAATATTTGGCCCAAGGGACATCGTCTTATTGGTGATCACTTGGCTGCTTACCTGTACGTTGCAAATCAACAATCACTAGGCACAGGATGGAAAAGGACAGCTAGTTACTACTTTACTTTGAATCAATCCGACAAAGAGCTCTGCAGATCATCTGGTAAGGAATCGCTATACCCTTCATCTAACAGCCAGAGCCTGCCTAATTATTCATGCATGGGCTTGAAACGTTACTAATTAAACATATATATTTTCTTAATTATTATGATATATACTTGTTAACCACTGATACTTTGGAGGGCATATGTGAATATTTCATCTCGCTATGCCTAAAACCAAGCTCTGATTCTAAAATGAACAAATAAAAAATGTGCATCGAATCTCCCCTAATCGCAGAGGGTATCGCAATGCAATCACCCCTTTGCAAGGCGCTAACCTTAGAGTTCCCAAAACTTAAGGTTTTCTCCAACAATTCAATGCTCATCAGAGGCTCAGAGCTATCTCTGGCAACCTCCAGTCTAAAGAAATCATCGGAATTGTGAAAGACATACGATCGATCTCCTCTGGTTTTACATCATTTTCCTTCTATCACTTCTCTAGATCAGAAAACCCTTTAGCTAAAAGGGCTCTTCAATCCTCTTAGTTTATAATGAAATTTCTGTGACAAAAAAAAAAAAAAAAACTAACAAAGTTGAATACGAGCTTGTAAAGGCAACAATATCTAATGAAGTTATGTCATGTTTGAATCTTGAAAAGGAAGCATCTATTATACACATAAGAATGTGATTGATTAAGGCGTCCTTTTGTTTTGTTTATGCTTCATAGTTATGCCTCACAACGTGTTTGAGGCTAGGAGACCAGGTTCGGGTGTCCAAATCCAAAATACCTTGCAACTCCCCAAGAGAGAGACTCTCAAGAACGAAAGAGTCACCATTCAATTCTACATTAAAGTTGTTGAAGCTTTTGATGGACAAAACCTACATGTATCAGAGTTTGTGGATTTCAACGGTTTTCAAGTTCCTGCTTCTCAAGTAATAGTTCAAAAAGTTTTTTTTTTCTTTCTTAATAATTAATCACTTGTTTTTTTAATTAACATAAAACATGATTCTTCTTAGCAGGGTACTCTAGTGAGAAAGATATTTACAGAGCATCCAGACATCGCTTTAGATTTCAAATCAAAGAACCAAGTTGTGAAGACAGAATACATGAAAGTTCTCCTTGGTCTCATCGGATAACCTCTCAGAGACTGAAATAATCAGCGCTCACAGCGAGTTGAGTGAGTTGATGGACGTAGGTTTCAAGCTTGAGTGGTTGAAGACAAAGCTTGAAAAGATTTCATTGAAGAAGAGATCAGATGATGATGCTGATGATGTGACTCGGGTCCAACAACTTGAGGAACGTGTCAAGATTCTTGAGCTTATGGATTTGGGAACCATGAAGACAAAGCTTGAAGAGGTTTCCTTGGAGAGTAAGAAAGCAGATTCTGATAGATCTCGGGTCCAACAACTCGAGGAAAGCTTCAAGAATCTTGAGCTAGTTGTGTCGGATCTAAGAGCTGAACTGCTCAAGAATAAGGCCAACTCTTTTGATGCTGAATTTTTGTTGGTCGATGAGGTTTGCTTGATGTAGTCAGATTTTCTTTTCTTATAATTTCGTCTGAATCATATTAGTCTAGACAATAGCGTCAACTAAAAGATTTGCTTATGTTGATGGTTTCATTCTCTTTTCGATCATGTTTTGAGATTGATAGTCTTTGGTTCAAAGTAACTATGATTAGAATACAAAACCTAAGAAAATGTTCTGAAGAGACGTGAGGAATGAAAAGTAGATATAAAGCCAAGTATATGATTTGGATCATGACCTGTAAACTTCTATTTTTATTAATTAATGAAAATTTCAGGATAAAAAAAAAAAAATCAATGATGCCACTTTTCAAATTTACCCTTAAAATTCAATGATACCACTTTCAATATTAATATACTGCAGTATTTCTGGCTTAAGCAAGGGTTTTGAGAAGTTTATCCTTGTTCTTTTTTGTCTCCTCTACAAACAGAGGCCTCAACTAAAAGATTTGCTTATTCTCTTTTCAATCAGGTTCTGAGACGATAGTCTTTGGTTCAAAGTAACTAAGAGTCAAAGACACGGAATATAAAACCTAACCAAAAGTAGGAGTAACGCATTATTCTATCTCTATAATATTATTTGAGAAGTCACTTTCTTAGGTGTCGCACTCACATTAACTCTCACGCTGGTTGATTACTATGATACCCCTAATGAATTAAAAATATATTTAAATATTATTATTTCCTTTTAAAATCTTCCAAATAACAATATAAAACAAAAAGGAAATATTTCTAAAATTTACAAAACTATTTTAAAACGAAAAAAAGTATATATAATATGGTTTCATAAAAAAAGAAAGTTTACAAAATAGTAATATTTAACTTAACTATATTTTTAAATAACATAAATTATACTTTTTAAGCAATTCTACTTTATATCTATATCTTCTTAGATGAAAAAAAATATTTGTATATAATGTGTTTTCATAAAAAAATTTCATACAAAAAATCTTGATATTAGAAAAAGAAATATTTTTTCTTTAAAAAAATAATTTAAACAAGAAAATATATATTTTCAAAGTAATTAGTTTTTGTATATATCTATCTATTTTATTAGATGATTACATAAAATAATTAAGTAACATAAACTGATATATGTTTAGTTGACAATAAAAATTATAATTAGTATATTTATTTGATTATAATATCTTACCGTTACAGCAAAAAATATAAATTATATTTTACTTATATAATATAATTTCTCAAAACAATCACATTTTTACTACATATTTTAAGAGATATTAAAAACAAAACTAAAAATAAATTTAATGGTAAACATCTTTTGATCAGATAACTACAATTCTTTTAAAATATCATAACACTATATAATTTAACAAGGTGGATATATTATATTTTAATAGTTAAAATTATATGTTTTCTTAATAACTCTTTTGATGTTTAATTTTCTGTTTTTATGTTTGTGGAATTTAATATAACATAATCAAAATACTTAAGAAAATTATAATTCTTCATTTTAAAAATTATTTAAAAATAAATTTCAGTTTACCATCCAATCAATCCAAGGCATAAATTATTTAAAATTTCTAAAATATTTAATTAATGTAAATATTGATATTTTTTCATAAGCTTCTGAAAATTTATTATTACTTATGTATGTAATTTAGAATCACACACTTTAGTTTTTATTTTTTTCGTTCTAAGCACAAAAAATATTTAAATACATAATCTTACTAAGATATACTTATGTTTCTAAGATAACAACCAACATAAATGTAAATAAAACAATTAATCAAAAATTTAAGATATTTAGAATAAAAAAGATTATAGTTGAATTAAGAGAAATAGATAGAATCCAATATATACATATATCCAAATGATAAACTAACTAAATATAATATATCTAAAATTATATATAACTAAAATAATATAATATTATTAATATAATTATACATATAACTATAAATTAATATAAAATTTAAAGTAAATATTAATCAACTATTATAATATATTTATTTTATAAATATTTATGCCCGTGCATGAGCACGGGAAAATCACCTAGTTGAATAATATATATGGTATCTCAATTCTTGTATTATATAGTATGGATTTGTTAATCTTTCTCCCACTAAGGTTTAGCCTTAAACTTCTGTTTTTTGACATTCCATTCTTATCTCTTTGTTTCTGATTCCATCAAACTTATGATTTTTGGATCATCATGAAAATTCCAAGATAAAGAAAAAATATATTATCTAACTTTTAAATAACTTTTTTAAAAAGAATATAAATTCCAAGATAAATAAAAAATAAATTATATAACTTTTAAAAGAATAAATAAAAGCAAAAATAAATATATAACTAGGTTTTAGTTTTTTTTTTTTTTTTTTTGTTTGAAAAAGTATTGGTTATTTTCCTATTGAGCTAGGGGTTTCAGACTTTGTTTTGGCTCCTATATAAACCAGAGAGGGCTTCATGTGTAAAAGTCTCAAACATAGTTTCTGAAAGCTATTAGTCTCTTCTCGAACCACTTGAAATCAAATTGATCAAACATGTGGAGTCAAACTCCAAGCTTCAGGTTTGAGATAGAAGAGTTCTGGAAGAAGAAAACTAATCGCATACTATCTAAGGTATTCGTAGCTGGCGGATGCGAATGGTAAAACAAGAAGAAGACTCTTTAAAACCTTTCTCTTCTCATCCATGATTTGATGTATTCGATATTAACAAGGGTTTAATATTTGTTACAGGTACCTCCAAGTTTATCCCAAGGGAACTAATCTTGCTGATGCTGGTCACTTGTCTGTGTACCTTCACGTTGCAAACCCTAAATCATTGCGAACTGGATGGAAAAGGAATGTTAGTTATTACTTCACCGTGTTGAATCATCGCAATATAGAGCGCTGCAATTCTGGCAGTAATGAGTTTTTATCCTTCCTGCAGTTCCTTGTTTGACTCTTTTTTCAACTGTAATTCGTGATTTTTGTTTGGAATTTACAAGCCAATATGAAATAGCTAGGTTTAGTGTATATATATATAGATTTTAGAAGTGCATAGTGAAGATTAGTTTAAGTGTGCAGATCGATGGTAAACACGTAAGAATGTTTGACTTTTTTTTCAACTGTAATTTGTGATTTTTGTTTGGAATTTACAAGCCAATATGAAATAGCTAGGTTTAGTGTATATATATATAGATTTTAGAAGTGTATAGTGAAGATTAGTTTATGTGTGCAGATCGATGGTAAACACGTAAGAATGTTTGAATCTTCAAGAAGTAAAAACTATATACGTACATAAACTATATATACGTACATAAACATGTCACATGTGGTTGATGTTTTGTTACAGTTATAGAAAGCAAAGTGTTTGACGCTGAGTCTCTATCATTGGGCTTCGGAAAGTTATTTCCTCGCAGCAAGCTTAAGGAGAAATTCTTTATGGGAAAGGACAGTGTCATCATTGAAGTCTACATTAATGTGATTGAAGCTGTGGATGGAGAAAGCGAAGATGTGACAGAGAAGGAGACTGTGGATATCAACGGTTTTCAGGTTTCTGCTTCTCAGGTAAGTTATAAGAATTTGCTTCTTTTTTTTGTTTGTATAAATTTTTTTGCATGCGTTGTAGGGTTGCTTCATGACGTATAGATTTAGGTTTCTTCTTTGCGTAAACATTGTCTCCTTTGCAGGTTGCTCTAGTGAGGAAAATATTCGCAGAGCAGCCAGACATTGCATCAGGTTTCAAACCAAAGAACCAAGTGGTGAGGACAGCATACATGAATGTCCTTGTTGACCTCATCAATACACTAAACAAGCCTTCAAAGAGTCACTCAGAGACTGAGCTAATCATCTCTCAGGGAGAGTTGCGTGAGCTGGAAGAAGTGGGTTTCGAGATTGACTGGTTGAAGTTAAAGTTTGATAATGTATTCTTGGAGAGGAAGAAAGATGATGATTATGGTTCGAGGGTCCAACAACTTGAAGAACGTGTGAAGAATCTTGAGAAGGTGGACTCTTTGAAAAGAAAGGTTGATGAGGTTCTTTTGGAGAGGGAGAAAGCAAAAGCTGTTGAGCTTTGGCTCAAAATACTTGATATATACGTCAAGAACCTTGGTAATGGAACCGACTTCGGGATGGACTCTTTGAAGTCAAAGATTGAGGATGTTTCCTTGGAGAAGAAGAAATCAGATTGATGCTGATGGGTCTAGAGTCCAACAACTCGAGGAATGCATCAAGAAGCTAGAGATGACTTTGTCAGATCTCAAAGTGAAACTGGACGAGGAGAAAGCCAAATTTTCTTCTGATGAATTTTCGTTGGTCTAACGAGGCACATGGTGATGTAATAATCTAGTTGTTAGTTTATTTCGGAGATTCTGCAATGATTTTCTTTGTTTTGTGTTTTCTTTTTTTGCTTTTGATAGTTTAGATTCAGCTTCTAAATCATAGCTATGATAATGAAAATAATTTGTTGGGATATATCTATGGTCACTATATAGGGAAAATTGCCAAATATGACTCAAAACTTGATTTGAAATGCAAAAGTAAACCCAAACTTGAATCAAATGCAAAAGTAACTTAAAAGGCTATTGAAATTACAACCAACTCCTTGTGAACAAACAAAAAACGCGAATTTTTTTTACGTTTCTAGCCCTCGTAAGTCGTCTGCCCAGACGACTTTCAAATAAGTC